GAAGACTCTGGAGCCAGAAAGCCTAGATTTGAATCCTTGATCTGTCACTCACTTGCTTTGTGACATTCACTGTCAAGGTACCCACCAGCCCAAACCTAGCTGTTCTTACCTGTAAAATGAAGGTAAGGAAACCTAGCTCTCAAGACAGCTGCGAGGACTTAAAGGAAGGAAATGCAAGCATGAAATCTGGTACCCTGCTCACCATACAGACTCCTTCCTTTAATATGGTTTTCCTATTTCACCTGAGACAAAACTGAGGCTTAAAAACATGAAGTGACTTGTCCAAGAATGCTTGGCTCTGAGCTGTGGAGTCTGGAGGTGACCCACACCACCTGGCTCCAGAGTCCAAACCTATAATTTCCATGCACTTGAGCCTGCAGACTGCTCTGGCTGTCTCTGGGCCTATTCCTTAAACCATCTTACAAATAAATAAATACATTAACAAAGACTAGGTCATCTGTATTTCCCGGGCGTGATCTAGCAACAAATTCCAATGGTCCCTGAGATGCTATAGTGGGGAGGACAGGGACCTTCTCCTCCTCACTAGCCCCAGGCCTGGCCCACTACCAGCATGACCAAATGTGCTCAGTGTTTACCAGCCAATCTCATCATGCCTTACTTCCTTCCTCTTGCCTTGTACCCCCAAGAGGCAAGAAAGGAACGGAAATAGCCACAGCAATACATTCCCTGTACTTGACATTCACTGAAGCCCTTCCTCACCCCGTCTGATCACTTCCTAGGCCCATGAGGCAGAGATAGTCCTCAGATCCATGTTCCAGACAAGGAACCCAGGGACATGATAGCCAGAAGCCTGCAGCCCGGAGCAGCTGCACTGGAGTCTCAGAAAAGCCTGGGGGACCCAGAAGCCAGGAGGGATCATGCACAAGCTGGGGCAGCACAGAAAGCCTTCCAGGTTGCACGGAAGTCCCCACTAGTTGTAAAACCCCACAGCCAAGGCAGTGTTCTTAGGCAGAAATCACAGTACCCTAGTGGCCCCATCAGTCTCCCTCAAAGTCCCAAGAAGATTTCATTCATTCACCTGGAAACGATTTCTGTAATGGCTGAGTCCTGCCACTTCCTACAGGTGCGACCGCGAGCATGTCGCTTAACTGCTCATTGCCTCAGTTCTCACACATGTAAGTGAGGATAGTGATGGTAACTTTAGGTTGTCGTGAGGTTTTACAAGGTTTTAAAAATTCATATACGCAGGACCAGCAGTTGGTGTAATGGCTATGTCGCTGGACTCCCACGTAGTCGACTGTGGTTCGAGTCTGGGACCCGACCCGGTGGCTTAAAGTCACGCCAGGCGTGTGTGCACACATGCCCAAGATCCCAAGAGGGGAATGGAGGAGAAGGGATTGCAGGATTGCAGCATGGCCATCCCCGCATGGCCATCCCCCCTGGGGGTTGATTTCTTGCTTTCTGTCTCTCTGTCTCTCTCTGGTGAGCACATGCACCCTAAAATAAAAACCTCTCCCCCCCCAAAAAAAAATTAGTATACACAAGATAGCCCACAACAGCACAGGATAAACAGACATAAGCAAAGGAATACAGTTTTCATGTTTACTCCCAGACACTGCCTAAGAACTTCTAGGACCAGACCCGTGCTTTCTCCATTATGAAACCAGAAATAAAGTCTCAAGTCGCTTCTCAGCCCTCCCTGCTGGAGATCAGTATCTGGTGCAAAAGGCCAACTCCCACACAGAGAATGGGGACAGAGGCAATGGTTGTAAGAGGGAGCATCTTCAAGGAAGGATTCTCTGGGAGGCTTCCTGGAAAAGGGAAGGAGGCTCCTGGGCTTGGCAAAGGTGGAGACAGAGACCAGCGCCTAGCAGGGAGGGATACAGACCAGCAGTCAGGATGGGCCCATCAGGGCACAAGGTCCTCAGTTCGTGTACTCTTTCTGCATCCCTCACCCAACTCCCAAGCTGCAGAGGGCAGGACTGGTGTTGGCAAGACCCCAAGGTCAGACCCAACTCCACCCTGAGCCCCTAAACAGCTCAGCCCAGTACCAGCCTGTGGGCAACCAAGGGAAAGACACAGCATGGCCTTGCAGCTTCTGCGACTGATGGGTCCTTGACTCCTGCTTCTCCCAGTTCCCTCTGCCAGACCTGCACTGTAACCAGACCTCCAGTTGTGGGTTTTTCACAACTCCCCTCTTTGGTGGAGAGCCCCTGCAAAGGAAGTTCTCCTTAGGAGCTGAGCAGCGGAAGTCTCTCCTTTCCAGGGCAGTACACGCCTCCCTGAGACTCGTCAGAGACTGAGAGAGAAACTACGGTTTCCTAAGTCACACTTCGCTTTCGTTTGTCCAACAGGAAATCAAGAGACCACAGGAGGCCGTTACAGAAATCTTGAGAGACAATGAGTCCAAGCTTTCCATTTCACAGATGGGGAAATTGAGACCCAGGAAAGAAGGTAAACTATACAAGGTCAAGGAGCAGGCCCTGCAGTGAATCCCGGGCTCCTGCAGGTCAGGGCTGCCCCACCGCGCATGGCCTTAGCCTTGGGCAGCTGTGCCTTGCCCCAGTGTCCGCCCTGGGTGCTGTCCGGTTTGCAGCCTGGGGAAGGGGGACGCCGAGAAGGCGGGGACATTCTTCGCCCCAGAATACGCCGCCGGCCGCAGGTTCCCAGGTGGCGCCGGAAAGCGGCTCCCACGCCCGACCGGCGGGGAAGAAACCCAACAACGCTCTGAGGAGCCGGGGCGCAGCCCGCGATGCCGCCCCCAGGCGTTCCGGGCGGGAACGCAGGCCGAGGCGGAGGCGCCCAGGCGGCCCCGCAACGCCCCGCCCGCCGCCCAGGCCCGCCCCCGGCCGGCAGGCCCGGTGCCGTCACCCCGCCGGGAGGAGCCGCCGCCAGGCTCGCCTTGGCCCAGAGGGAACGTTTCTCCCCGGTCCGCGGAGGAGGCGCAGGGCGGCTACGTTTCATCAGCCGCCGCCACCCCCAGGCCCCGGGACGCCGGAACGAATCTCCGCGCGCTCAAGGCCACGTGCGTCGTACCTGGACTCTGCGTGCACCCGTGACCTGAACGCCTGACCTGGGTCAGTCCCTGCCAGGGTTCAGCCGTGAAAGAGCGGCTCACCGCAGGGGTGCAGCCCCCGGTCACGTAGTGTCACGGGATCCAGAAGAGAAGGCAACATTTCGGACCAGAAGTTTCTCAGGGACTTGTTCAAATTAAAACCAGTCAGAATGTCCAAGATTAAAAAAAAAAAAAAAAAAAAAAGTGTTCACGGTATTAAGTAAAACCATTGCCCAGGCAACAGACGACCCGAGTTCTAATCCAGGTCTCTTCACTTTAGGTTATCTTCAGAAAATTGTTTTACCTCCCTGTCCCATCCTTTTCTTTAAAAAAAGAAGAATGAAAGAAGAAAGATAAGTATTTCTT